ATTTATTTATTTATTTATTCATTTATTTATTTATTCATTTATTTAATAATTTTAGTGTTGCAAAAGGAGCTTCATTACAGGTCACTGCAATGTGCAGCTTAACAACAACAACAGGATTTAGAGGCACGTTTGAGCATTGAGTCATTGATTTAATGAGTTGTTCTTCTTCTTACCTGATCTTTACTGCATGTGGTTTTTATATCAGAATGTGATGTAATCTTGCTTCAGTTAATCAGCTGGACGTGTTGCATATGCTGCTTTGTGTGGTATTTTTCATCTGTAGGGGATTCAAAAAAGCCTTGAAGAAAGAGTTTTAAGCCGAGAACCAAAGCAGCCGGATCCAAGATGAGTCACACTGCAGCTTTTTATTGAATGCAGGGGAGAAAAGTGATGTAAATGTTAAATAATATTCTTAATTTGCTGTAATTTAATTAATTATTGAAACAACATGTGCTAAGCAAAAAAATAAATATATAATTAAAAACTATTATTAATTATTTAACCCGGTGAAGAAAATCCAATTTTGTATTGTCTTTCAAGCAATACAAATTAAAAGCACATACATTAAACAATGGATTATTGTTGTCTGGTGTTTAGGATAAAATAAAATAAAATAAAATAAAATAAAATAAAATAAAATAAAATAAAATAAAATAAAAATAAAAATAAAATAAAAAGTGGCCAATGGGTAGCATGATTGCCTCACAGCCAGAAGGTTGCTGGTTTGAGCCCCGGCTGAGTCAGTTGACATTTCGGTGTGGAGTTTGCATGTTCTCCCCGTGTTGGCGTGGGTTTCCTCCGGGTGCTCCGGATTCCCCCACAGACCAAACACATGCACTGTAGGGGAAATGAATAAGCTAAAGTGGCCGCAATGTGCGTGTGTGAATGCAAGAGTGTATAGGTGTTTCCCAGTGTTGGGTTGTGGCTGAAAGGGCATCCGCTGCATAAAACATATGCTGGATTAGTTGGCGGTTCATTCCGCTGTGGCGACCCTTGATGATTAAAGGGACTAAGCCAAAAAGAGAATGAATGAATTCTACTACTACCACTACAACAACTACTACTAATAATAATATTATTAATAATAGTAATGAATAAAACATTTAAAAAATAAATAAGGATAGAAAAGAAAGCTTTAGTCAGGTAAAATAAAATAAAATAAATAAATAATGTAATAAAATACATAAATACATAATTTATTATGTATAGTATTTTATTGTTAAAATACATAATAAAATAAATAATAATAATGAATGAATAAATAAATAAATATATAAATAAATGAAGAAAATGCATAAATAAATAAAAAAAAAATAAAAAAAAATAAAAATAAATAAATACATACATACATACATACATACATACATACATACATACATAAAATAAAATAAAATAAAATAAAATAAAATAAAAGGAAAGAAAAGAAGAAAAAATAAAATAAAATTAAATTAAATAAAAAATTACCAAAATATATGTAACATATTCACATACAATAGTAAATATAATGAATTAAGTATATTAAAAACATGCAGTGAACAATGGATTCTTGTTTTCTGTGTGTAGAATAAAACAGAAAGATTCAATCAATCATGAATGAATGAATGAATGAATGAATGACTGTTTGATACTTTTAATGATGCCAGTATTGCAATTAGCTTTTCACTTTGTATATTGAAATGCTGTTTAGTGCAGGACAATACTGAAGTGTTGTCATGTCCACTTATTATAAGTGATGTCTATTAAGTGTCTTCTGGCTTGTGGTTTGAGCTTGGCTTATAATAGCAATCCAGTTTATGGAGCTAATAAAGCAGGAGGTGCGGAATTTGATGTTTTGGAAAATGACTTATTTATGTACTTGTTTTTCTTTTTTCTCTGGCAACACGTATGAGTCACAGTTCATATGTTTATTCCTGTGATTTCTCACACCACACAGAAAATACATAGAGACAACTGTGATATGAATTTAGATACATCATTAACTATTCAGTCTAGTTTCATGCACACCCTCGAGAGGTTTTGAATTTATTTCTTGAATGTTATT